TACAGGAAAAAAATGTTCAAATTACATTTTTCATAAGTAGGGATTGATTCAATGAATGCTTTTTAACGAAAAAGAACCTTTTTTAATTTGGTTCATAAGCAATTCTCTATTACTAAGTTGCTTGTCCTCGAATCTGGAATGTGTATTTTTATTAAAATTGGTATCAACAGACTTGCATGCAATACCGTTCTTTTCATCATTGTTAACATTTGATTCAGTATGAGCTTTTTTGTTTTCATTTTCTTTAATAATAATATGAATTTGTTCAAAAAATTTATCGAGTATAGAGAAACATTCTTCCACATTAAAAGATTTCGTGTTCTCGCCAAAATGAGAAGCTAAATTTGTTATAAGATCTACCGTTGTTTTAAAATTATCATTAAGTACATCAATATCCTTATCTGCTTGACAGATAAACTCTATTAGATGTTTTTTAATAACTTGAGAATAGTTCTCTTGTGCCAGTGTAGATTTAAAGTTTTTTATATGGCGAGAACGATTACGAAGCTCAGCTTCCAAACATTCAAATGAAGTTTTTGACAGTTTGTTCAATGATGAACGCAAATTCAAAAAACTAAAAGTATTATTTGTACATTTTTCAGCCATTTCTACAGCCAAGTGGACGAAGGTAACATTTGGCTTGTTAGACCGAGTACCTATCAGTTTAGGCAAACTACCCAACGTGAAACCGTTTGCTTCACCAGCATAACTTCCCTAACATAATCATGTTTTAATTAATAACTTATTTATTTAATTTTTCAGCATAAATACAATATTACATATTTTTTTAATTTTGTAGTTTCGATTAATAATAATTAATAAATAATAAAATAAGCATGAATAATAAAATACATGAACGAGAAAATATTAAACAACTTTGTGTATACTAATAAACTGGTGTATTTTTTTTATATATGCCGTTTGAGTATAAAATTAATACGACATACTAATGCGTATTGATTTCATACTTAAATGATTCTTATTATAGAGACATAAAAATATCATTCACACTTACTGCGTTCAATTTATTGCCTAAATGTAATACAACGGACAAAAATTGTGTCAACGATTTGTCATTAATTAATGTGGAACAGGTTTGTTGATAATTTTTTAATGTCTCAAGAGATTCCGAATATATGAAAGGCCACTCTTCCTTTAACATCGTAAGGTCGATTTTCAATTGATAATACGGAATTTCGTTAAGCTTAACACAAAACTGTTCCGCCTTGCCAAGTGTCATAATGTCTCCGCTGAATTTTTCAATAGCCTTTAAGTCAGCGCTTATGGGCAATATTCTTTTTACCGCTTCTAATTTTTCAATAGCAATCATACTTCCATCCTCTAAACACTTGAAAAATTCTTCAGGCTTTGATTTTAATTGTTTTAACATTATGTTAATCGCGAGACTTCTCTTAGAGTCTAAAACGTTGGTCGTAGTAGATTTAAGTTTAGCGTTTTGAATAGGCGAAGTATTGGAACGCGGTTTTTCACCAAACAACTCTACAATATCTTGACATTCAATTGCAAGATGCAGAGGTTCCAACGTCGACCACAAAGAATTTTCAATATTTTGGTTGTTAACTTTAGTCCAGTTGATTGTTTTTGTTTTAACGACCGTGGGTTTGATTGAGGATGTGCGACTTGTAGATGTACATCCTGATATCATTGAGGGAGGTGTTGGAATAGAGGACGGTATCGATGGAGGAGACATTATTGGCACAGGAGCTGGTGCATGATGTTCTGTGTTGACTGATGGAAGTGGTGGTGAGCTAATTTTCGACGTACAAGTCGACGGTAATGTTGTGGGACACGAATTCAAAGTGAGTTTTTCTCCGGATAATTGATTTTCGTGATCCTCTGGCAACGATACAGGTTCTAACTTTTTTAGTGTAAGTTTTTTTCGTCTGACTGATTTACTTACTTGAGAATTTTGTAGTGGGTCTGGTAAAGCTTCCAAAAATACGTATACAAAAATGAAAGCTTTAATGTACACGTTCGAAGTACAAAAATATACTACGAACGATAATACTAATAAATAAAAATGGTCTTTTTGGATCAACATTTTCACAAAGACAAAGTGTTGTAACCTTTTAGGCTCCGTAGGTGATGAATTGAAAATATTCAGAAAAATTTTTATAGTCAAAAACACAGAAAAGTTGTTTTAAACGTTAAAACTTACGAATTTTTCAACTCGAGTGACGATAAAATCTTTTGTTTATTACGTCGTTGCATGAATTATCGTTTCCATAGTAAATATTTTGACCAGTATAAATTAAATATAGTAAAAATTAGTTATTTATGATGAAACATATACAATTTAGTAAAAATTTTTTATTGTCAAGGAAATTTTTTTTGTTTAGAAACATAAGAGTATTTAAATTGATTAATTGGCTAATAAAAAAAAACATAGAAAATTTATTATCAAATCTTAATTATATTGCAGTTTTGTTTGAGTAATTTTTAACACAATTAAATTCTATCAAAATAAATACATCAAAAGTGAATATAGTATAGGAAAATTACAACAATAAATCAAAATGAATATCAAATTGTTTAGTGAAAAATATATTAGAAATTATTTGAAATATTGTAATGTTTTATACCCTACATTTTATTTTATTTTACATTTTCTTAAGTTATGATTATATATGATTATTATTATAGTATTTTTCATTATTTTTGTGTTGATCTGTTTAGTCATCAAAACAGTAAACATCCCTTGAAGAGGCGAGCTCATCACGAAAAACAACAGCTCGACCTCCGGCTTGAGCTCCCGAGTCTGATTATAATAATAAATAACGTATCTTTAGTGTGGTTATTATTGTCTGTGTGTAAACGTGTAAGCGACACGAACCGGTTTTATTGGTGTTCTCGGTGTATTATCGACAAAATTAGTACCGATTAGAATACCAATTTAATTGACAACAGCACAAGGCAAAAACCGGTCTCGTTTACATTAACCGTGCAATTATTAAGCAAGTGGCGCGTACCCTCATATATTATAAATGATTACGGACTGTTCGTCGCAACTTAACTGATCCGCTTTTGCAGATGCGTTGCATACGCATCCAAACTTGTCTGTGCTTGAAGTGAAACTGTAACAGTTAAATATCCAGAGGTAGTGTTCAATTGGAATATACATAATTAATCCCATACGCATGTTAATTACAATCGAACGTAACCAGTCGCGGGCCGTTACTTACGTTTTAATGAACAACAATAATTTGATTTTCATATTTTA